GATGGGAGAACAATTAGATAAGTATGAATGTGCTAAATGGGACAGAGGTAAAAAATGATGTAGGCACAGCTTTAGAACAACAGGGCTCTGGAATACAGAGACTGAGACATGGGTGGAATGGAAAAAAGGGGGGAATAATGTTAAGATGCTTGGCTGTCTTTTGAATCATGGTTTTCCTTGCATTATACAATAAAACAGACACTGGAGGGGGAGAGAAAGGAATAGCCAAAAATTTCACCATGGAAAGCTTGTAAGTCCGTCTTCTACATATAACTGATTGGAATACCTAAAATGGGGCTACAATGTGTCCAGTGAAGGAGGTTTCCTGAGGAGCCTCTGCATTACAGGGAGTATAGGTGGAAGCCCGAACCACATCCAGACCTTCAGAGATGGGAAATTTTCCACTTGAAAGGACAAGCAGACTAGCCGGGGGCAGCTAGCAAACCAAAATATACTTCTTGAAAGAAGGACCTACAGGAAAAATACAAAACAATAAGGGCAGTCCGACTGTTACCACAAGAACATGCAGGTTGCTTGCCCAGGAGACATCAAGGCAAGTGATCGGGTCCTCTCAGTTCAAATCCTCTTCCAAGACTAAGATGCAAGGAAAATATATGCTTTGATTCGCGACCATGCACGTCACCCATAAGGGGAAGTGACCAAAGAACATCAGTGAAGTGGTGAGCTAAGCCCTACATCGTTCAGCAAATTACTGTGAACCCGGGTGGAGACCTGGTTGGCCAGCAGCGAAGCAAGACCTGGGGACTCATGGGCACATAGTCAATGACACAGCCACAGAGGACTAGAATGGAGAGTGGGGCGGCCAGCCGATAAAAAGAGGGCGGACAGACGCAAGAACACCCACACTTGCAGAAGATACTCACTTACCTGGCTTCAATGACTGGATGAACAGAGCTCAACCCGAAGAAGAAAGAAGAGAAAAAAAGCATCATCTGATACAATTCGATAAACATGACCTACACCTATAAATGCAGTAGTTCAAAAGAGGAAACAAATCCCTGCTGCAAGAATTATTCCCACCCCCTCCACATAAAGAGTAGACAGGGATGGGAAACTTGGACATTGGCTACCCAAAATGGGGGGAGGATTACAAAGGTAAGAAGTGATTGGCTTACAAGCTTTCAAGAGGGAACCTAGATACAAAGGACATGGAGGAAGGCAGAGTCTCCAGTGAATAGTATCCAGCCTGTCCAGGAAAGGCTGATGAAATGAAATACAGATGGGTCTTTTGTGATGCAATAGTGAATAATTGTTATCAGAACTGACTGTGAGGGTTGGAAATCTAAAGGTGGACATTTTGTAGCAAGGAGGGGAGTGATTAACTTTTCAGCTAGGAGCAGAGGACCCTGGGACCATCAATGGAGAAGAGCGGAGAGCAGGATCCTACCCAGAGAAGCAGAGAGGCCTGAGATGGAGGCAGAGAAGACGACGTGAAGAGATGGAGTGGCTGGGGACTTGGGATCCAGAGAGGGAAAGGGGCTGAGGACTAGGGGGGAGGGGGAAGGCAGGCTTGCAGGGCACACCCTTTGGTTGGATGAGGATGCATGGACGGGATGGTAACTATGCCAATGAAATGATGTATGATAGAATGGATGAAGGACTAATGTTCTCCCATGAAGACTATCACACAATTCACAATAAAATATTTTAAAAAACAAGAAGATGGCAAGAATACACAGAGTTACTGTACCAAAAGGAAATGGTCGATGTTCAACCATTTCAAGACGTAGCATCTGATAAAGAGCCAATGATAGTGAAGGAAGAAGTCCAAAGTGCACTGAAGGAATTGGCAAAGAACAAGGTACCGGGAATTGATGGAATACAAATTGAAATCTTTCAAGAAAGTGAGACAGCACTGGAGGCACTCACTCAGATCTGCCAAGAAATTTGGAAGACAACTATCTAGCCACCTGATTGCAAGATATCTGTATTTGTATCCATTTCAAAGAGAGGTGACCCAATGGAATGCAGAAATCATCTGATAACATCTTCGATAGCCCATGGAGTAAAGTTTTACTAAAGGAAATATAGAAATGGCTGAAAGCATACATTAATTGACAGAGAATTTCCAGAGGCTTAAGCCGGATTCAGAGGAGGACATGGAACGAGAGTTAACATTGCGAACGTCAGATGGATCTTGGTTGAAAGCAGAGAATATCAGAAAGATGTTTACCTGTGTTTTATTGACTACACAAAGGCTTTCGATTGTGTGGATCATGACAAGCAATGGACAACATTGTGGAGTATTTCTTAACACTTAATTGTGCTCATGAGGAATCTGTACATGGACCAAGAGGCAGTTGTTGGAACATAACATGGGAACACTGAATGGTTTAAAATTAGTAAAGGTGTGTGACAGGTTGTATTCTTTCACCATACTTATTCAACCTGTATGCTGAGCAAAAAATCCGAAAATCTGGGTTATATGAAGAAAAACGGGGCATCAGGATTGGAAAAAGACTCATTAGCAACCTACAATATGCAGATGACACAACCTTGCTTACTGAAAGTGAAGAGGACTTAAAATATTTACTGATGAAGATCAAAGACTACAACTTTCAGTATGGATTGCATCACAATGTAAATTTTAAAAAATCCTCACCACTGGACCAATAAACAACATTCTTATCAATGGAGAAAAAGACTGAAGTTGTCAAGGACTTCATTCTTCTTGAATCAACCATCAACACTCATGAAAACAGCAGTCATGAAATCAGACGACGTATTGCATTAGGAAAATCTGCTGCACAAGACCTTTTTAAAGTGTTGAAGAGCAAAGATGTCAGCTTGAGGACTAAGGTGTACCTGACTCAAGCCATGGTATTTTCAATACCCTCATATGCATGCGAAAGTTGGAAAGTGATAAGTACGACCGCAGAAGAATTGATGCTTTTGAGTTATGGTGTTGGGAGGAAAATATTGAAATTACCACGGGCTTCCAAAAGAACCCACAGATCTGTGTTGGAAGAAGTGCAGTCAGAGTGTTCCTTGGAGGCTAGATTGCCAAACTTCGTCTCTCATACTTTGGACATATTGTCAGGAGGGACCAGCTGGAGAAGGATATCATGTTTAGTAAGGTGGAGGGTCAGAGAAAAAGAGGAAGACCCCCAGCAAGATGGACTGGCAAAGTGACAGCATCAATGGGCTTAAGCATGACAACAATTGTGAGGTTAGCCCAGGCCCGGGCATTGTTTCATTCTGTTTTACATAGGGTCATTCTGAGTTGGTACCGACTCGATGGCACCTAACAACAACAAAAACAACTTTTTCACTTATCAAATATGATACCCTTCTCCAGGAACTATTCTCTCCTGACAATGTGCCCAAAGTACGTGAGATGAAGTCTAGCCATCTTCACATCTAAGGAGAATTCTGGCTGTACTTCCTCCAAGACAGATTTGTTTGCACTTCTGACAGTCCCTGGTATTTTTAATATTCCTCACAATCATCACAAATTAAAGGCATCACGTCTTCTCTGGTCTTTTTTATTAATTGCTTAGCTTTCACATGCATGTGAGGAGACTGAAAATACCTTGGGGTTTGAGTCAGGGGCACCACCTTAGTCCTCAAAGTAACACCTTTGTTCTTGAACACTTTAGTAGATCTTTTGTAGCAGATATGCTCAATGCAATACATCTTTGGATTATTCAACTGCTGTCTCCTTGAGTGTTGATGGTAGATCCAAGTACAATGAAAACTCTGACAACTTCAACTCAACTGCTGTAGCATAAAAGGAGTCACAAACAATGCATAAATAAATGAGAGTGGTTGTGTTCCAATAAAATTCTACTTACAAAAGCAAGAGGTAGGCAGACAGGCCCTAGTTTAGTAACTCCAGTCTTTTTTTTTTTTAAACAACAACAAAAACTTGAAAATCAAAGAACTAGGTCTTCTAGTTTCTCTCCCAGGGCCCTACTGCCTTACTGTTGAGATAGGAATATAGTTGAGATAACAAACTGAATCCCCATTCCCAAGGCAAACCTCATGCAAAAAGGGCAATCATGGGCTGGAAAGGAACTTGTTCCCTGTTTGCTGAAGTTGTTATAGGTGTCATTAAGACACCATAACAGAACAAAACATCACCGATGCCTGCACCATCTTCAAGATGGTTGGTATGTTTGAGTCCATTGTTGCAACATCATGTCAATCCATCTCATTGTGGGTTTCTCTCACATTCACTGGCTCTCCACTTAATCAAACTTCAGTCCTTCTCCAGTTATCAGTCCCTCCCAATGACATGTTTAAAGTCAGCAAGTAAAAGTCTTGGCCAATATTCTATGATCCATAGGAACACTTCATTGGCCAATTTTCAAATGTAGAATACCAGGTCTTTTTTCCTAGGCTTACCTTAGTTTGGAAGATCTAGTGGTAACTGTCCAATATGGGTGAAATACCAGTGCCATTGCTTCCAGTATCCTAGCAACATTCAAGCCACCATAGTATGATAATCAGATAGATGGGTGGTGGCCTTCCCAAGGGATTCTAGCTAATTTTAGTCCATTAAAAAAACTGTTCCCTGAGTGAACCATTAAGTACAGCTCATAGGACTCTTTAAGGAATCAAACCAGCTAAAGGATTTCTCCTACCAAAAGACCTTATAAGACAGGTATTATTATCTCCAATCTTCAGATGAGAAAACTGAAACTTAGAAAGGATAAGTTACCTGCCTAGGGTCTGATTCCATAGCCATGCTTATATATCCATATTCCTTTGCTTTCAATATACTAAACGGATAAAGACAAAAATATAGTAAATCAACATATGTATGTATCTATGTCTCATAAAAATCATCTTGGATCACTAAAAGAAAGCATCATTTTGTCAGTTTAATCCTGTTCATGTTTAGAAAACTGTGATTTCATAATCAGTTTCAAATATATTTTGAACATTTTAGTCCTATACAGTTACCTATAAAATATTAAATCACCACAAAAAACAAAAAACTTTTTGTTTGAACTTCATGGTATCTATGCTCCTACCTGACACTGGTTAATAGCTGCATGGTTTCCATGGAATGGAGACTGTTTTTCTTTATCTCGATGATGCCGACTGCTGTGTTTACTTCTTTGCAACTGCTGACGTAATTTTGCAATCTGAAAAGGGAAATATACCAAAGATATCAGAGTATTTTCCACACCACATAAAAACATACTGTTCATTTAATAAGTGGTAAACCTCTCACCTAATAGTCCTTCAACACTTTAAACCATTGCACAAAATCTGAATGAATGCGCTAAAAGTTTTATATATATATATATATATGGCTAAGTTAAAAAAAAAAATATTGCTACTTAGGGTCCAGTTCATTATGCACAGGTTTATTTCAACAAAATATACTTAAATGTGTCTGTGAAATTAGTGGAGAGCTGCAGACAAATTTTTTCAGTAATACACTTGTCTTAGGATGCCTTCAAAATAAATGCTCCAATCAAAACAAGGCAGAGAAGTGAGGTCAGAGATGATAACAATGGTTTTGTAGGATCCCAAGGCGGCATAGATGTTTTCTAAGAACATGGGATGATCAAAAGGGCATATTAGGAAGCATTTTTAAGAAAATTGAAAACCAACTCGACAGCATCTAACAAGTTTTTCTCAGCAGTGAAGGGATTTTTTTTTATTATTGCAATTCACCTATTCATTCTTCAAGGGTAGCAAGGGCTGTCCAAAGAGAATTTCATTGGGAAACCTTATACCATCTATCCTCCTGCCCTGGTCTTGTCCCTTCAGACATTTTTTTTTTTTTTTTTTTTAAGTTTTTATTGTGAATGGAAATGATAGATGATAGTTTACATGGGAGAACATCAGCTTTACACCATTGTTTAGTTGTAATGATTACAATCTCCTCTGTGCATCATCATTCAACAGTATTTGCTTACATTGCCTCTGTGTTTATTTTTTGGGTGGTGGTGGTGAGGGATGCACACAAAAACACTCAGGAATATATAATAATTTAAACAACCAAAGGGCACTGCAAGCCTGCCTCCTGGTCACCAGCACCCAGTCCCTCTCTTTCCATGAGTTTAGAGTCAGCTGCTCCCTCTCTCCATCCGATTTTTTATTTTCCAAATGCAAAGAACATTTCTGAAGAACACTGAGTCCCTCAAGGTTGCCAAAACAGACATTTTGATGTGATGCAAATTGAAGACCATATAATTCTACAGCTCCCAAAATTAAATAGTATTTTAAAATCAGTTCCACAAAAACCAATTAAAGCTTCGGAATTTATTCACAGATGTAGCAGTTGTTGTTGTTAGGTGCTGTCAAGTTGGTTCCAACTCATAATGACCCTATGCATAACAGGATCAAATATTGCCCATTCCTACACCATCCTCACAATTGCTGTTATGCTTGAGCCCACTGCTTCTACCACTGTGCCAATCCATCTAGTTGGGGTCTCTTTTTTGAGGACCCTCCACTTTACCTAACATGATATTCTTCTCCAAGGACTGGTCCCACCTTATAGAATATCCAAAGTGTGACAGACAAAGTCTAAACATCCTGGCTTCTAAGCAGCATTCTGGCTGTTGTACTTCTTCCAACAGAATTATTTGTTATTCCGTGGTAGTTTTAATATTCACCTCCAACACCATAACTCAAATCATCAATTCTTCTGTGTCATCTTTACTCATTGTCCAACTTTTACATGCATATGAAGCAACTGAAAACACCATGGCTTGGGTCAGGCACACCTTAGTCTTCACACTGATACCTTTGCTCTTGAATACTTTGTAGGGGTTTTGTAGAGAATATTTGCCTAGTGCAATATGTCATTTGATTTCCTGACCGGTGCTTCCATGAGCGTTGATAGTAGATCCAAGGAAAATGAAGTCTTTGAGAACTTCAATTTTTTCTCCATTTATCATGATTTAATTTATTGGTCCAATGGTGAGGATTTTTGTTTTCACTGAAGTGCTGTGGTCTTTGAGCTTCAATATTAAGTTTCAAATCCTCTTCCCTTTCATAGTAAGCAAGGTTGTATCATCTGCATATTGCCATTTTGTAACGACCCTTCCTCAAACACTATGTCACATTCTTCTTCATATAATTCAGTTTCCCAGATTATTTGCTCAGTGTACAGATTGAATAACTATAGTTAAAGAATACAACCCTGGCATACACCTTTCCTAATTTAAAACCATTTAGTGCCGCCTTGTTCTGTTTGAATGACTACCTCTTGGCATATATATATCGATTCCGTATGAGCACAATGAGTTTCAGAAAGCTCATTCTCTACAATGCTGTCCATAGCTTTTCATGATTCACACAGTCTAAAGCGTTTATACAGTCAATAAAGCACAGGAAAACATCTTTCTGGTATTCTCTACTTTCAGCCAAGATTCATCCGACATCAGCAATGGTATCCCTTATTCCACATCCTCATCTAAATCCAGATCGAACTTCTGACAGTTCCCTGTCAATGTTTTTTGAATTATCTTGAGCAAAATTTTACTTGCATGTGATGTTAATGATATGTCCGATGATTTCTGCTTTCCATTGTGTCAACTTTCTTTGGAACGGGCAAAAATACGGATCTCTTCCAATCAGTTGACCAGGTAGCTGTCTTCCAAATTTCTTGGCATAGATTAGTGAACACTTCTAGTGTTGCATCAGTTTGTTGAAAGATTTCAATTTGTATCTCATCAATTCCTGGAACTTTGTTCTTTGCCAATGTCTTCAATGCACACTGAACTTCTTCCTTCAATTCCATTGGCTCTTCATCATATGCTATCTCTTGAAATAGTTGAGCATCGTCCATTTCTGTTTGGTACAGTGACTCAGTGTATTCCTTCCAATATTTTTTGATGCATTCTAAATCATTCAATATTTTGCCCACAGAATCCTTTAATATTGAAAGTTGAGGCTTGAATTTTTTCTTCAGTTCTTTCAGCTTGAGAAATGCTAACGTGCTTTTCCCTTTTGGTTTTATAACTCCAGATGTTTGTACATTTCATTTTAATACTTGACTTTGTCTTTTCAACCTGCCCTTTGAAATTCTGTTTAGCTCTTTATTTCCTCTATACTTCCACTTACTTTAGCATCTCTTCATTGGAGATCAAGTTTCAGAGTCTCTTCTGACATCTACTTTGGTCTGTTCCTTCTTTCTTATCTTCTTAATGATCTTTGGCTTTCTTCCTGTATGATGTTCTTGATGTCATCCTAGAACTCTTGTTTTTGGTCTTCTTATTCTTGAGATGGTCTTTGAATATAGGTGGGATGTGTTCAAGATAATATTTTCGCTCCCGTGGACTTTCAAAAATTTTATTCAGCTGCAGCCTGAACTAGCATATGAGCAATTGATGGTCTCTGTTCTGTAGCCTTCCTCTGGGCTTGTTTTGGCTGTTCCACTGTCTTTTCCCACAGATACAGTCTATTTGTTTTCTGTGTATGCCATCTAGTAAGATCCATGTGTATTAGTTGTCTTTTACGTTGTTTAAAAGAAATATTTACAATGAATAAGTCAGTGGTCTTACAAAATTCTTATCATGTGATCTCCAGCATTGTTTCTATCACTAAGGTCATATTTTCCAAGCAATGATCATTCCTCTTTGTTTCCAACCTTTGTATTCCAATCACCAGTAATTATCAATCTTGATTGCATGTTTAAATCGATTTCATACTGAACAAGTTAATGGAATTCTTCAATTTCATCTTTACTGGCTTTAATGGTTGGTGAGTAAATATGAGTGGTAGTGGTATTAACTGGTCTTCTGTGTAGGCATATGGATATTACCCTATCATAGGCAGCATTATACTTGAAGATAAATCTTGACTTTTTTTTTTTGATGAGCAATGCAATGCCTTTAGTCTTCAACTTGTCATTCCTGGCATAGTAAACTATAGTAAACATAGTAAACAGTAAGATTAAAAAAGGCCAATACTAGACCATTTCAGCTCACTAATACCTAGATAGTGATCTTTATGAGTTCCATTTCACTTTTGACAACTACCAATTTTCCTAGGTTCTTACTTTATACATTCCATGTTCTGATTATTAATGTGGATGTTTACAGCTATTTCTCCATATTTTGAGTTGCCCTCATTTTAATACAACCTTTGATACAATCTTTAAATTAAAAAGGCAATTTCAATGAACATCCCATATTACTCCTTGACAGGATTAAAAAAAAATTATATAGTACATGTAAAATACAAAATGTCATAATTATGGTCATAGAATATGGCTTTCGTTCATAGCATAGGGCCATAATCTATTGGTTATACTGGGTTATTGAATTTCAGAAATATTAACATATATAAAAAGATTAAATGTGCATTTGCTGTTACCACTACAATTTTATAGACTTTATATTTTATGTACAAATAAAGACTCTCCTAAAAAAGGACAAAGAAAAACACATAATGTGTACTTTTCTGCATTCAAATCTATAGATCATATTAATACAGTAACTTTGTGTCACTATTTATCAAATTAAAGAATACACTCAATGGAAACTAGGCAAATCCTTGTTACCCACACAATCAAGGAACTAGCCAACAAACATCGAATTTTCACATCCACTTTCTTTAAGTCATTATTCTGACCTCCTTAAGTTGATCTGTACTGCCCCAGGATGCTGAACGCTTGTGAGACCCTTTCTTCTTTTCAGCATACTCTTCAGCCCATGCACTTTCTGTCTAAAATGGAAAGAAGGGAAGGGAATTTTAATTAAATAATCACTTAACAATAATGCTTATAATATTTATTATAAAACCCAGAAATGGTAACACAAAAATTAATTTACCTTGTAAAGACCAGTTTTCCATTCTAGGTACCACAACTGGAAATATACATATAAACTTAATGTGTACCTAACAAAGGTGTCCTGGTGTGGCACTATAGGATAAGCATTTAAACTACAAGGTCAAGTTGAACCATAATTTTGGCAGTTCGAATTCACCAGCCGCTCCTCAAAAACCCTATCTAGAGTAGCTATGAGTTGCAAATGACTCACTGCAACAACAACAAAGGGATTGATACAGTATCTGGACATTGGCTAATATGGTACATACGGTATCTGGATATTAGCTCATTTATAATTGGATCTGTTCTCTACAGCCTCAGAAGAGTGTCTTAGGTTCAGAGGATAGAAATCATTGGGAGGCAAATTTCTATGCAACATAAGTAAGACCTTTCTTCATTCAGCAGTTTTCTTGTATATGTATTTCAAGAATTTTTTGTAGAATTTGATTCCATAATCTTGTGATAGCTTCATTCAGGAACTTGTGCAGGCTTACCGAAGAAAGGCAAAGATACATATACATTTTGAGAAGCAACTGCAGACTTTACACTTGAGGTCAATGCATTTGTGTGTTGAAAAAAGATTCTGATATTTTCTTTTCTTCCTAATATTACATCCTAATTTTAATTTGGTGTGGTGCTGTAGGATAAGCACTGAACTGTTAATCACAAGGTCGGCCGTTCAAGCCCATCAGCAAATTGCTGAGTCAGAACTGGTTTGACGGCACTTAAGAACAATTTCAACCATAGATCAAGGTTTTATTCAAAATAACAAGCGTAACTAAAAAAGTAATTTTAGAAAAAATGCTAATCTGTGTCTTCACTACGTTCATTTCACTACATTTAAGATTTTTTTTAGTGTTACTGGAATCTATTAAACAAATAAAATAGTTGTTTTTTCAGTGTTATTATTATTATTATTTTGGCTACAATTCCAGATTATTCTTTCAATAAAAGGAAATAACCTCTAAATGAGTTTAAAGATTTATAAGCAGTTAACCTCAGTAATTTAAGATTACCCTGTGCAGGATCACTATGAGTCCAAACTGACTCCACTGTACTTAACAACAACAAGCTTCCAGTTTACCAAATCTTTAAGCTGATTAGGTTTTAATCATAGTCATAAATTGGAAACATAAAACAATTTCATAATAAATATTTATAATAAATTAATAATAAAAATTAACCTCTGAAGGGATAGTGATCCTAGATGTAATGTAAGATTTTTTAAAAGCAAAAGATGACTACTTTATGCAAAAAAGAAAACAAGCAACCAAAAGAATTTCAAGAAAACCAGACAGCATTCTTATGAGTCACAAATTCAAGACTAAGCCACCTGTAAGGAAAAGAGACCTAGGAGGTTAAGGAAATTGTGAAAAGAATTAATATCCTTTGAATGAGAACCACAAATAATTCAATGACACATACATACTCTGTAAGATAAGCACTGGACTGGGAACTCCAAGATCAGTGGACCAAGACCACCAGCCGCTCCAAGAGAGAAAGACAAGGCTTTCTGTTCCCAAAAAGATTTACAGTCTTGGAAACCCTATATATGGTTGCTATGCGTCAGAACCAACCTGAAAGCACTTAACAGCAAATTGGTATAATCAGCAAATACAAAAAACACCCAGTGAAAAGAAGGTAACTTAAATAACTCCTATATTACAATCTTTCTGGAGAGCAAACTGGCAAATGATTAGAATAGAAACTTTTTATGAACATCATTTGGGTTAAGTGGGAGCAAATCTGCAGAGATTGGCGGTAGTGAAGTAATAAGCTATGTACCAAACTCTTAAGCAGAAACAGTAAATCAATTTTGTAGGGAATTCGTTTTGTAGACCATCCCAGAACCACTGGCAATGGCATGCCAGAGTATTGTATGAGAAAGATACTCAGGCTATCTGAGCTCACAGGAATTAATGTTTGCCATAGACACAGGAAGGGGTAAAAAGAGGCATGATAACACATTTTTGCTACCTTTATGTCAAGTAATTATGCTAACAGATAATCATATATAGTAAAATCTTAATTGTTCATTTATTCTGATGACCAAAATAAAGAGAGTAGCAAGTGGACTAACAGGGGACATTAACATCTTTAAAAAATGTATTTCCATTTTCCTGACTTTTCTTGATGCTGTCTTGCCTTTTATTTTCCAGAGCCTCCCTCGCTCATCCCCATTTTTCCCTTCCCCACCAGGAGCCAGGAGCTGAAAAGGACCTTAAAGTCTTACGTAATTATTTCATAATAGAAAAATTAGGCCCAGACAGGTTACATGATCTAACTTGTCAAAGTCACAAAAACCTTTCTGTAAGAACCCATCTATAAGATAGTTTCTACCACAATGCTGCTGGAGCACTAGGCAGTAAAATAAAATTCTGAACCAGGGATGGTAACTAACTGACACAAGTGTTCCCAGCCTGTTTATTAGAGGTAAAAATTGGTAATCAATCACAGCAGTCTTTAGCTTAAATCTTTTCCAATGTAATTCTCCAGGAAACCAACAGCAATTAATCAAACTGAGGGAAAGGTGAAATCTAAGTGTTATCCTTGTTCTAATTTCACAATAATCATCAGAGGTAATAATTTTATTAACAAACATTTATTGAATGTTTACTAATGTGCCAGACATTATTTTAAGTGGTTTACATGTGTTTCATTACTTAATCCTCACAATGATTCATTGTTATGATTGTTGGTCTATGTATAGCTTACTCATGAACACAATTAAGTGGTATGGAATACTCATTCTCCACAATGTTGTCCATAGCTTGTCATGATCCAGACAACCGAAAGCCTCTGTGTAGTCAATACAACACAGATAAACATCTTTCTGGTATTCTCTGCTTTCAGACAAGATCCATCTGACGTCAGCAATGACATCCCTTGTTCCACGTCCTCTTCTGAAACTGGCTTGAAAACTCTGGAAGTTCTCTGTCAATGTATGGTTGCAGCCTTTTTTGATTATTTGGTTGGTTATGTGCCATGGAGTCAGTTCCGACTCATAGTGACCCTATACAGGGTTTCTGAGACTGTAAATCTTTACAGGAGCAGAAAGCCTCATCTTTCTCCCATGGAATAACTGGTAGTTTCAAACTGATCTTTAGGTTAGCAGCCTGACTCATAACCACTACGCTTCCAGAGCTTTAGCTATTAGTAAAACTTCAGATGCATGAGATATCAATGATACTGTCTGATGATTTCTGCATTTGGTTTAGGTCACATCTCTTTTTGGAAAGGGCACAAATATGGACCTCTTCCAATCAGTTGGCCAGATCGCTGTCATCCAAATTTCTTGGCATAGATGAGTGAGTGCCTCCAGTGCCGCCTCACTTTCTTGAAAGAAAGGGAAGAAAACCTCAGCAGTTCTCAAGATGAAACAACTGAAAAAAATTTCAAGCCTTAACATGAAATACTGAAGGATTCTTTGGGCAAAATTCGCATGGGATATCCAAGATAATAGTCCAATGATTTCTGCATTCCGTTGGGTCACCTTCTCTTTGAAGTGGACACAAATATGGATCTCTTCCAGTCACTTGACCAGGTAGTTTTCCTCCAAATTTCTTGGCATAGACAAGTGATGGCATTCAGTGTTGCTTCAGTTTGTTGAAAGATTTCAATTTGTATTCCATCTATTCTCGGTGCCTTGTTCTTTGCCAATGTTTTCAATGCACCTTGGACTTCTTCCTTCAGTATCACAGACTCTTGATTATATGTTAACTCTTGAAATGGTTGGACATCGACCATTTTTTTGTTACAGTGATTCTGTGTATTACTTCCATCTACTATTGCTGTCTGCATCATTCATAACTTTGCCCACAGAATCCTTCAATACTGCAAATTGAGGTTTGCATTTTTCCTTCAGCTTTCTTAGCTTGAGAAATGCTGAGCATGATCTGCCCTTTTGTTTTTTTGTCCAGGTCTTTGTACATTTTGCTACAATATTTGACTTTGTCTTCTTGAACTGACTTTTGAAATTTTCTGTTCAGTCTTGTACCTCCTCACTTCTTCCATGTGCTTTAGCATCTCTACACTGGAGAGCAAGTTTCAGACTCTTTTGACACTCATTTTGGTGTTTTCCTTCTTTCTTGTCTTCTTAATAACCTTTTACTTTCTTCCTGTATGAGGTTCTTGATGTCATCCCACAACTCTTCTGGTCCTCAGTCTTTAGTGTCTAATGCATCAAATCTGTTCTTCAGATGATCGCTAAATTCAGGTGGGTTATATTCAAAGTCATATTTTGGTTCTCCATGGATTTGTTTTAATTTTTCTTCAGCTTCAGCCTGAACTTGCACATGAGTAATGGTCTGTTCCACAGTCTGCCCCTGGTTTTGTTTTGGCTGATGATATGGAGCTTTTCCACCATCTCTATCCACAGAAGTAGCCAATTAGATTTGTTTATTCCATCTGATGAGATCCCTTTGTATAGTCATCTTCTGTACTGTTTAAAAAAGGTATCCGTGAAAGAACAAAAAGATGGCGGATAGGGTAGACGTGCAGTGAGGATCTCCATCAGCAACAACACAGAATTCCAGACCAAGCAGGTTCAGGGGATGGTCCCCAGAACTCTGAACCACATATGAAGGTACATTTAGAATGACTGGAAGGCTCACAGCCAGTGCAATTATAGCAGAAGCAGGAAACCCAGTGCTTTCTAATCCAAGGTGCTCAGCTGCTCCCAGAATGGCCATCTTGGGAAAGACTGAGTGGGGTAAGGATCAGAGCAGCAACAGACACCTAACAAAAGGACAGAGGTAAAGGTGTGGACATTCTTTTTTTTTTTTTTTTGGTATTTGTTCATGGTCTCTCACTGTCTGCGCACCTCCATTCTGGTGACTAGATGGGGTGCCTGAGTGAGTTGACAACCCACCCCCACCCCTGGAGGGTTCTATTA